CCCCATCTCCCTCCCTCCCTTCTCTCTTTCTCTTCTTTACCTTCTTCCCTTTCTCTTTTGTATAAGAATATTTGAAGAGCTAGCAGTTTAATTCAGTGGGTAAGGCTCAGGGTTCTATCCCTAGCACAGAAAAAGAGGGGGGGGGGGGGGGGGGAGGGAGGAAGGAAGGAAGGAAGGAAGGAAGGAAGGAAGGAAGGAAGGAAAAGTTTGGAGATTTTTGAAGTATAAATTAAGTGTAGACTATGTCTCAGCTTAGTTTGTAAGGCCAGCAGCTATCAGACTATGAAGGACCTTGAATTTCATCTACTAATAAACTCCTTTAAAGGCAATAGATACATCTATCTTTATGCAAATTGCATTAATTACAATATTCATCTACTGCAAGTTAAATACTATGTCAGATACTGTTGGACTGCATAAATGGGACATTTATGCAATGGGACATTATGCATTTGAGGGACAGTCTGGCTCCTGGGAAGATATATCTGTAAATAATAGTAGCAGTACAAAGAACTGTAGTAATCTGAAACTGTAGTAATCATGCCTTGGGGTATGGAAAAGGGGACACCTAACTTCTTGGCAGTCAGAATATTTCTAGAAGCTTCATAGAACAGCAGAATTACTACTTGAAGGATGAGTGAATTCACTGTTTGAGGATAAGGAACTTTGCAGATGTGAAAGTTAGGCATATTTAAAGAAATTTTAAAAATGGTTTTGTCAAGACTATAAGGGGGAATTAGAGGGAATGGTAGGGTAGGAAATGAGGCTGATAAATGGGCCCAGTCAAATAATAGAGGGCCTCTAGAAAAGCTAATGAACATTAGCTTTTATTCTGATACATCAGTGAAGGGTTTTTAAAATAGAGGATTGGTGTGTTTTAAGATTACTGCTGGCCTCTGGAGAAACAATTGAGAAAAAAGCAGGATGAGAGAGTTCGGAAGTTTGTCATTTATTAGAGAATATTAAAAAGGCTTCTATAGACTCTGTTTATAGCAATTTACAAAGCCATTATTTATATTGTATACAATATTAAAGCTCTCACTATATCTAGTCCTTTTAATTATTAGAGTGGCAAATTCATAGCATTTTAGAGAATTGGTTTCTGAAGTAGTGGTATTGAGGTTACTTACTTCCTTTTAAAAATATTTATTATTTTTATTTTATGTGTATGAGTATATTGTCTGTATGTAGGTAGGTGCACCTGTGTCATGCAAGAGTTTACTTTTGTGTGGGGTTTTTTTTTTGGGGGGGGGTCTTTTTTGAGACCAGTCTCCCTGTAGCCCCAGCTGGGATAAGTAGTCCAGGTTGGCCTTGAATTCACAGAGATCTGTCTGCTTCTGCCTCCAGAGTGCTGGGATTAAAGGTGTGTGCTACCATGCCCAGCTGAGGTTACTTATTTTCAAACTTCAGAATTTTGACCTTAATCCAGACACTCCTAAATCTGGGTTTGTTGAAGCCATGGTATTGATATTTCTAAAAGTTTGTGATTATTTATTTATTTATGGAAGCTTTTTAATTTCTAAAGCACTGTTGTATCTAACTCCAGGGAGATTGTATTCTAAATTAGTCAAGATTAAAGATATAATTTCTACCATTACATGCGTCGATGATGAGAAACTATAAACGCTGACCCCTTTAAAATTTTGTTCCTTCTATTTCGCAAAAGTGCGGGGAACTGCCAGTATGTTCAGCAGGGTGGTTACTGCCTTGATGAGTGTATATTTAGAATAAGATAGGATTTTAGAGGTGGGAGATCCAGAAGAGTTGGTAACATGGCAGCGCCCTCACTTGTACTGGGCTGAGCACTATAAGTGCTATAGGTTTGTAGGCATACTGTCTCTACAGCTAGTAAGTTACTGGGTTTCCCACTGAGTTTTTTGCCTGGTGCAAAAACATCATGATGGGTGTCTTTGTTCTCTGGTGTCTTAGAGAGTGCAGAGAAAAGCAAAATCTTGGTGACTAAATTGGCTAGCAGTATTCATGGTGTGCAGTAGAAGGGCCATGTAAATTTGAAATTTGTATTAAGTTACTGTCTGTATGTGTGGAGAGGATATGTGCATATGAATGCAGGTGCCAGCAGAGGCCAGAGGTGTCAGATTCCCTGGAACTGGAATTAGAAGTGATTGTTAGCTGCCTGACATGGGTACTGGGAACTGAACTTGGGTCCTCTGCCAAAGCAGCACATGCTCTAACCACTGACCCATCTCTCCAACCCCAAATAATTTAAACTTTTGAAGCATTTGAAATAAGTATTTCCTTATGCTCAAAGTAATAAGAGTTATCTTCTTTCTTTTGATTGCAGTAGCTGCTGGTGGTGGTGACAATGTCAAATAACGGTTTAGACATCCAAGACAAACCCCCAGCCCCTCCAATGAGAAACACCAGCACTATGATTGGAGCTGGCAGCAAAGACGCCGGAACCCTAAACCACGGCTCCAAGCCTCTGCCTCCAAACCCAGAGGAGAAGAAGAAGAAGGACCGATTTTACCGCTCCATCTTACCTGGAGATAAAAGTACAGTATTTCTTTCTTATCATTTGTATGCTTTAAAATAAAAAACAAGCCGGGTGTGGTGGTGCACGCCTTTAATCCCAGGACTTGGGAGGCAGAGGCAGGCAGATCTCTGTGAATTCAAGGCCAGCCTGGTCTACATAGTGAGTTCCAGGACAGCTGGGGATACAGGGAGACCCTGTCTCAAAAAAAGACCAATAAATAAATAAATAAATAAAATAAAATGTGTCTATTGCATAGGGATATCTAGTATAAGTGTAGAGAATATCTATTTAAAAAAATAAAAAACAAAACAAAAAAGCCAATGTTTTTCCTTTCTAATAATCTAAATCAAAGCTCTGTTCTTCCTTAATTTCCCTTCAGTATCTTCTCATTTACGGTTTTCCCCTTACCTTGTCTTCCTAAAGCAGCTAAAGCCAAGTGCAAAACAGATGTAATGCTCAAACTATATCTGAACAAAATTCTAAAAATAATTTTGCTTTTGCCAGATTTCAAATAAACTGAAGCCATTTATTTATGTATACATTTCCTTTTAACTTTTTAAAGTGTGTATGAAATCCTAAAACGTAAGGAATTTTGAAATATTTTAGTTTGGAAATTTCTTTTTCCCAAATTAGTTTCAGTTGAACCGCCTTCTTTACAAAGTTTGATTGCTTGCTGTTTATCTAGATCTTTGGTCCCACACCCACATTTAGGGATTAACTGTCAGTAAGAGCAGCAAGGAATGTCAGGGAAAAGGAAGCAGAAATAAGTGAGCACTCCTCACTAGGCAGCCTCATGCCTTTTTTTTTGAGACCTGTAGCTCAGGTTGCCTTTGAATGTATGACATCTTCCTGCCTCAGCCCCCCAAGTGCTGAGATTACTAACATAAACCATGTTCAGCTTTCATCTCCTTGGGATTAATAAAACTTTCCAGAAGAGTAATCAGAATCTTAATGGTTACAGACAGTGGGAAAAAAATAAGTTTTTGTGTCCACATAGATTGCTTTTGCTTGTCACTAAAAATGTTAACTTAGTGAGTGCTGATCTGAAGGGTCTCAGTTATGCTTGTAGGGCCTTTTCCTGTGGCATGGCTTTCTATAAATAACATGACCTTCTGATTCAGATGAACCTGAAAGTTAAAGGTAAACCACAGAAGAGACAACTGTCCCAAATTGTGTATCTTGTAAGGGACTTGTATAAGAAAAAAACAACTATCACGCCTCAATCCAAAATCAAATAACTTGATTTAAAAATGGGCAAAGGATCAGAGTAGACATCTCTCCAAAGAAGACATACAAATGGCAAATAAGCATGTGAATAAATGTTCAATGTCATTAGTTGTTAAGGAAATCCAGATCCAAACCACAATGAAATACCACTTCACATCCTCCTCAGGTCTCTGCAGGTGTATAAACACACACCACCCCCCTGCAAATACACACACACACACACACACACACACACACACACAAAATCAGCTTTATTGAGATGTAATTTATATATTATTACAATTCACCTTTATAGAGTATAAAATTCGGTGGCTCTTGTATTTTCACAGAATTTGGCAGTCACATAGGAATAAAGATAGATAATATCAGATGTTGGTAAAGATATGGATATATTACAACCTTTATAATTGCTGGTGGGAATGTAAAGTAGTATAGCAACAGGGAAAGGACTCTGGCAGTTCCTCAGAAGGTTAAATGTAGAGCTATGTTATGACCCAGCAGTTTCCATCACAGGGAAATAATATGTTAGCAGCATTATTCATAATAACTCCAAAGTGGAACAACTTAAATATCAACTGATGAATATATAAATAAAATGTACTATGCCCATGAATATTGAAATATTATTTGGTGACAACAACAACAAAAACATGAAGTCCTAAGCCATGCCGCACCTATGGGTGAATCTTGAAAATACTGTGTTAAGTCAGGCATGGTGGCACATGCCTTTAGTCCCAGCACTTGGAAGGCAGAGGCAGGCAGATCTCTATGAGTTCAAGGCTGGCCTGGTCTACATAGTGAGTTCTAGGCCAGCTGGGGCTACAGGGAGACCCTGTCTCAAAAAGAAAAAGAAAAAAAAAAAGATGTCATGCCAGACATGGTGATGCATGCCCTTAATCCCAGCACTTGGGAGGCAGAGGCAGACTGATCTCTGTGAGTTCATGGCCAGCCTGATCTACATAGTGAGCCCCAGGTCAGCTGGGGCTACAGGGAGACCCTGTCTCAAAAAGACAAAAAAAAAATAAAATTCAAAGAGATAGCTGGGCAAGGTGGTGGCACATGCTTTTAATCCCAGCACTCTGGAGGCAAAGGCAGGCAGGTCCCTTGAGTTTGAGGCCAGCCTGGTCTTCGTATCAAGTTCCAGGCCAGCCAGGGCTGCATAGTGAGACCCTGTCTCCAAATAATTTTAAAGTTAGGACAGCATTGTAAGGTAGCAGTAACCCAATGAAGGGACCATGTCTTGTTTTCCATGAACTCCAGGAGCAGCCCTGGACATGGAATACAGGCTCTCAGTAATAAGCCTTGCTGAATTTAGTTGCAAAAAGAAAAAGAAAAAAAAAAAAATACTGTGTTAAGGAAAAGAAACCAGTCATAATGAATCACATAGTGTATGATTCTATTTATCTGAAACATCTAGAGAAGCAGATTCATAAATAAAAAGCATATTAGTGGTTACCTAAGGCCACAGAAGGGTGAAAGATGGGAGTAGGGGTAATGGCTAAGAGGTGTGGGATTTTATTTTGGTGTGATAAAAATACCTTAGAATTGATCATGGTAGTGATTGCCCAGCTCTGTGAAAATACTAAACATCATTGAATTTTGTATTCTAAAGGTAAATTATAATAATATATAAATTATGTTTCAGTAAAGCTGATTGTGTGTGTGTGTGTGTGTGTGTGTGTGTGTGTGTGTGTGTATGTATGTGCATGCACCATGTTTGCAGGGAGGTGGTATGCGCTCGTTTTGAGACAGATTTTTCTCACTGAACTTGGAGCTAAGCTGGGTGCCTGCTAGTCCCAGCAAGTCTTCTTCTTCTACCCCCCTACCCCCATAGCCCCTCACATGACTGCGGCTACAGATACATATGGGCACATCTGACTTTTTACATGGGTGCAGGGGATTTGAGTCAGGTTTTTGTGCATAGCCAGCCATCTTATCCAGTGAACCAATTCCCCTAGACCCTTCTGTTTGTTTTTAAAGAGGATTCACACCCATAGAGCTTTTGTACATCACTGAAACCGAAGGGACACTCTTATGTTCTAAGTGGCTCATAAGAATCTAGATATCTGGCTTGTAATCTTGGTTTTCCCATAAATTGACGAGATTTAGAGAGGCATATATATATATATATATATATATATATATATCTTCTTTTAGCTTTATAGCCCTATACTTATATAAATGAGATATTTCAGCTGTCTTAGATAAAGCTTGTCTATGTAGGTAGAAAGGAACTAGGCCATTGTGAGGTATTTTAATCGATGATAGAGCTGTAGACCTGGACGTTCTTTTGGAAATCTGGCTGGATAACCCAAGGCCAAATTTGGTCTGAAAATAAATCTCAGCCTGAAGATCAAAGCTGCATCTTTGTAGGTTGCAAGCTCAGAGGTCGAAAAGTGAGAGTTATAAAGAGGCTCTTGCAAAATGATCTAATAGCCTCAATTTCATTCTCCAGCTATGGAGTTCCTATAGATTCTGTGAGCACGTTGGACCCTTGTTAGCTCTTATAAATATGTATACCAAAAGGAAAAACAGCTGAATTTTTTTCCTTTAGTTTGGAATCTTGGTTCAGCCAACAAGCTGTTACTCAGATGTGGGTTGAGAGAAATGCTGTCAGTCTTTGAAAAGGTATGCCTCACAGAGTATCTGAGGGTTTATACCAGCTGCATGGAGAGCTAGTCTAGAAATGAACTCCACAAACATAGATTTAGTCCTCATGCTCACATTAACACTTCCATTTAATATTTAAAGTATGTTAATTATAATGCCAGTCATGGTGGTACATACCTTTACTCCCCCAGCACTTGAGAGCCAGAGGCAGGCAAATTACTGTGAGTTTGATGCCAGCCTGGTCTACATTGTTGGTTCTAGGCTAGCTAGAGATGCCTAGTGAGACTCTGTCTCTCAAAAATAAATAAATAAATAAATATTGTGAACTATAGCATTCTCATCTGTAAATGAGAATGATCATAATTCCTATCCGTCTTATAGCATTAGTAGCCTTTTGTCTTATCACTTGATATAGTAATTGTAAAAGCTACTAGGCTATAAAACAATGCAAATGTGAGATTTATTTCTATGAAATCTTACTTATTTTTTAAAATTTTAGTTGATACTCATATCTGAGCCACAACAACTTGTTTTCCAAAAGGGAAACTGAAGCTTAGAGATTAGTAAATGATGCACAAGGTCTCATTGGTGGAAACTGGGAAGGATGAGTATGGAACTAAGTCTTTCCAAAGTGTTTGTCTTAAACTACTGTGCCCTCGTTCATGGTGCTTTTAAAGAATACATACGTATTTCAACCCAGACAATGGAGTCAGAATTTTATTTTGTTTTGTTTTGAGATGGGGTCCCCCTATCTAGCCCTGACTAGCTGCCTGGAACTTACTATGTATACCAGGTTGACCTCAAACTTAGATTTGCTGGCCTCTGCCTCCTGAAGGCTGGGATTAAAGATGTGTACCACTGCGCTTAACTTTGGGGTCAGAATTTCTAGAGGCACAGTGGTGTGTTTTTAAGAGAAATGAGAAAGCAAAATTCTTTACAGGCTACAGTAGTGGCTTAGATTGGAGCTGGCAGTGGGTAGAGTATCTGTGGGCATTATCTAATGCTGACCTCCAGGATGGCCTCAATTTGCGCCTGAGGGAATGCATAAATGACTGGAAGGAGAAACTAATGGAGGCCTGTGATAGGTGGTGCTGAGTTGCAGAATTCCATGTGGGAAAGCCTGGTTCCTGTGGTTAGGATCTGGAGCCTTTGGTTTATTCTAAGAAGTCTTGCAGCATTTAG